CCCGAGTGGCTGCTAGGGGTGTTGATAAGAGCAGRCACCCCTAGCACCATCAGGGAGGCTCCATCTATTGGTGGGGAGCAGCACCTGCTGGAAACCGGGTCCAGCGTCCCATTGATACATGTTTGCTGAGAACCAGGCTCAGCGTCCTTTAGAAGTGCGTCGATGAACATAAGATGAACATAAGAGAATTTAAKAAGGASGATACGAAAGATCATGATCGTGCTACCYGCTGGGAAGGGCCCTATTGCCAGACCGGGTCCAGATGTCAGGGGCCAGACATACTGTTCCTWTACACTGGGTCCTTCCCCATCCTGCCATCACAACCCGTAGCTAGAACATGCCTGCCAGCATTGTTTGCTCCGGTAACCAGAGGGTTAACGGAGCAGGTAAAGAAGTGTCTTGAACCGTGGGCTTGGTCAGGAGTTCGGGAGGAGCCACTGGGGGGCACCAGTGGGTTGTCCTTCCATCTTCCTGCCTCGGGAACCTGCCCTTCGTCATCTGTTCTAATGAAAAAAGCAGCAACAGCGCAGCCAAGCACCCGACGCCAGCGCACTAGCGCAGCCAAACATACAGAGCAAGCAGAGCAAGCATCGGATCGAATCAGAGAATTAGCCCATCCATCTCACATCTAGGGACAGTGGGTGGGGCGGAAATGGGTCCGGAAAGTCCTCTGCAGGCCTAAGAGGGACGTTGCAGTCAATGGACATCCAGTCTTTAAACTGTAACCGATAATCCCAGAGCACTGTTGTCTCCTCATCTTCATTCCCTTCCCCTGACCAACATACCTTTGCTACCTATCCCTCCCGGTCCCCTCCCAGCCATTCCTTGGAAAACTGTGTTATCCTGTCCTTGATGTCTTTTGCCCTGTGGAGAGTATCAAGAGTGTGTTTGACCGACTTCCATCTGAAGTCCAGTTCCATCTGTATGTAATGTTTGAACTGTTCCACTCTCTCCTCACCCTCTACCCGAACTCGGTCAAAAACCAAGGCGCAACGCTGCCACCATAGTACCCATAGGACGGTTCTTCTGCCTTGCTGGAACATGTTCCAGGCAAAAGTGTCTCCTTGGAGAGGCGAGTAGTGGCCCAACAGGATGGCACGCCAGTCCCACGGCCATTGGTGCCCGGGCACAATTTGCTGCCACACTCTATCCCACCATCTCCAAGTTAAGACAGTTGTCGGGCACTGTAGAAAGATATGCTCTATTGTTTCCGCTCTCAACTTCTTGGGGAAGCCCGACTGACAGCGTGAGCACCACGGCAGGGCCCGGCCCTGTTGTTCCAGCTGGGAGTGATCTATCAGCCAATCGTTTGTAGGCAGACAGAGGTGCAGGATCTGCCACTGCAGTGGCGTGATCTTCGCAGGTCTGCACTTAGTGTCTTTAAACCACCGGATTGGTGTAAGGAGCTGCCGGTCCACGTCGAGGTGCCTCTGCCATCTATCCATCACGACGTCTTTCAGGCAGCGCTTGGCTCTGATCTTCCTATAGGTGGCTTTTACATAAGGGTCCACCAATGAGGTGGAGGAGGATTGCCCCATTTTGTGGCGCTCCTTATGGGTCCAGATCCATTCCCGTGGGTCCATGGGTAGGTCTTGTATGGCCAGCTCCGGCATAAAAGCCCTCCGGTTCTCTCCCTGAAACCACTCTATTAGTGCATCCTCCGGTCGGACTTGGTGTACACACCCCACTGTAGTCCTCTCCCCATCCTTAGATACCCAGTCTCCATCCTATAACAGTGGCCCACTGCGTAGGATCAGCCGCCATCCCACCGGGAGGGCTTCTATGATGTCTTCCAACGCAGTTTCAATATTGTGACAATACCTCAGGCGGTCCCTCATCGCCTTCGGGCTCCTCCACTCATTTTCTTTTGCGTCCCACAGGTCTCCCACGCGTGTTACCCCATTCTTCACCCATCCTTTCCATGGGGAGTCCGAGCTACAGTAGATTTGGCTCTGGCCATTGGTAATCCAGCGGTTGCCGAAGAGGGGTTGTCTTGCCACCTCCTCCCACCTGCACGGGGGTGGGCGGTCCGGGGGGGGGAGTCGTCTCCAGGTTTTCAGCAGCCGGGGCCAGAAGTCATCTCCCTTTCTCAGACCCCCTCGAGGGCGACGTGGCACCCTCCAATAACGGTCATCCAACCACTGAAGCGGGTGGACGGTAGGGGGGGCCTCTGGGGCAAAGCGTGCTAACTGTTGAAGGGCGAGGGGTCTCCACGTCAGCGGGTTCGCAAAAATTAACCTCACGATCCATTGTAGGCTGAGGGCCTGCATCTGAGTGAGGGGGTCTAAGATGCCAAGCCCCCCTTGTGTCTTGGGTTGGATGACCGAGTCCCACGCGACCCGGCTAATGGCGTGGGGGGTTTCACTGTCCCCTCTCCAAAGGTAAGCTGCGCTGTCCCCTCTCCAAAGGTAAGCTGCCACTTTTTTCTTCAGGGACTTGAGGGCCCCTTCACTCAGTGGCCAGAGAACCGCCTTGTACCATAAAGATGCCAGRACCACATTATTAATGATCAGCGCCCGTCCGAAGAGTGACGTGTTCCTGTGGTTCCATTGGGAGAGTTTGGCAAGGGCCGAGGCGGATATCCATTCATCGTTCTCCGGGGTGTGCACCTGGGGCTCATTCAAAAAAGTGATCACTTTTTGCGTATCAAAGCCATCCCGTGGAAATCCGCGGAGTGTGTCGATTCTGGAGCAGCCGTATTAGCCATATCTCTGGGAGTAGTAGAGAGGGCAGGGAGACAGAAAGATTTGATTCCACTAGCCGAGGGAGACCGTTTGGTCTCCGCATACGAAGAAAAGATCCGAGCGGTCTGGAGAATGGCAAATGTCACTTTTAGAATGGGAAAAGTCCACGCCTTAGGAGATGTAGTGGTCCTCAACTTAAACTCGTACAATGTACTCCTAGGACTACCCGCCTTAAACGCCCTTCAGGCCAACCTGGACTTCCAGCGACGTGTAGTTCTCAAAAACACGGGTGGCAAGCCGTACACAATCCCTATGCGTCTCACCCCCCGCACGGCGCACGACGGTCGGCTCGACACGTAGAGCCCATCCGGATACAGTTGGGCCGATCCGAATGCTCACATGGGAACGATTGGCTGACGATTCGAAAACATCCAGTAAGGAAAAGATGTCCTCACCTCCTGAGGACTTGGAAAGTGAGGAAGAGACAGACCCGATGATCCAAGAGCTGACGTGGAAGGTAATCAATTACCCAGTCCGACAAAAAACGACAAAGACGATCGGGCTTACCGAAGAGAAAGTCTGACCGACCCGGACCCTTTTCATAGAGGAGCCGCTAGTACAAGTGTCGAGGATGCCCGATTCTTCGGAACCCCCTGGAACCCTGTACGAAGGAGCTGACCCGCTGCTGCCATGATACCTGGACAAACACTCGTTTTGCGATGCTACGGACTTACCTCCCCGATCGCTTATCAGTGTTATCACCATGGAAAAGGAGGTACGATTACTGCGCCGAGGAGCGGAAACACAAGCTTTGAAACCCCCTGGGTACCCCGAAGCCTCGCTATTCGAGATTAGGATAAAAATCGTCAAGAAACCGGTGGACCCTCGGGACATTGAGGACGGGATAACCCCCGAAGAACACGTGGTCATCCGAGAAGAAGAGGCTCAGATGGTGGCCACCGTATTCTCATGGTGGTCGGATAACTCTTTTATCTCTTCCCCACCACCCCGGGACACGAAAGCGATACACACTAAACACGTGTCGGTCATCATTCACGGACAACCCTACGAATTACATGTGCCAGAATGCATGCCCGACAAAACCCACCAACTAATTGCGGATATTCTCACTGAGCATCAGGACACGATTAGCGTCAAGGATGCAAACATCAGATTGTCCTTGAACATACATCACGAGATTTGGACCAGTAACCACCCACCGATCCACTGCAAGCCTTACCGGTACTCACTCGCGAAACGGAAGGCGGCATTAGAGCGCATCCACGAGTTCAAAGTCAACGGTTGGATCGAACCCGCCACAGGTCTTTGGCCCTTTCCGGTGGTCTTAATTCCGAAGAAGAATGGATCTATTCGCATTTGCATTGATAATCAGAAACTAAACGATATCACGATTAAGGATGTGTACCCTCTCCCCCAAATTTATGATTTGCTGGATGCGATTGGATGTGCTAATTATTTTAGTAAATTTGATATTCGGCATGGATTCCACCATATCCTGGTAAGGGAAGTGGACCGACCGAAGACGGTCTTTATGTTCGATTTGTTTGAATGCACGTGGCAGTGGATTCGTTGTCCGATGGGCATATGCAATGCACCGGCGACGTTCGAGAGAGAGATGAATATCACTTTTCAGAACTTCGTTAACAAAACCCGGCTGACTCAGGGAATGATCAATTTTTGCGTTATTGTGTACATGGACGACATTTTGGTGTATTCTGAGTCGTTCCATGGACACGCGCAGCATATCGAATGGACACTTGGAGCGTTGCGGGGCACTGGCTTCAAAATCGTGTTGGAGAAAAGCGAATTTTCCTGCCCGAGATCTCGTTCCTTGGGTACGTGGTAACCCGAGGGGGCTTGAAACCAGATTCGAGGAAAGTCGAGGTGGTTCGGGAGGCACCCACGCCTACATCACTGAGCAGGTTCGAGACTTTCTGGGACTGGCCTCGTATTACTGATGGTTCATCAAGGGATTCGCGGCAATCGCTCGGCCTCTGACGAACCTCCTACGGAAGGACCAACCGCTGAACTGGGACGCAGAGTGTGAACGGGCTTTTTCCACTCTGAAGGAGGCCATGACCTCGGCGCCTATTTTAATTCGGCCCGATCCCGAGCGACAGTTCAGACAATTCCTACTCATTACCGATTGGCAGCCCGAAGCAATCTCCGCTATCTTGGCTTAGAAAGGAAAGAACGGGCGAGAACACGTGGTCGAGTATGCTTCTCGGACGATACCAGACGAAAGGAAGAATGACTCGGCGCCCCAAGAGGAGTGCTATGTTGTAGTCTGGGGAATCCATCCCTTCCACCTGTATCTCTATGGGCAGAAGTTCCTCCTCGGAACGGATCACGAACCCCTGCTGGCACTCAAGGAGCTCACCAACTATACGGGTATGATTGGTCGATGGGCTGTAAGGTTGCAAGAGTACGAGTTTGACATCGTCCATCGAAAGACGGAGAGGCACGAGAATGGGGACGGGCTAACGCGTCTGCACAGGCCAAGCAAGGTGCCGCGTTGCGAGGAGATCACCCCATGGAAGGAGCCGGAGCCGCCCAAGGGGCCCGGATACGGCCAGGTGAAGGTGCTCCCCCGGCAGGCGAAGAAGTGACATGTATCCTCATGGCGGCCCAAGGAGAAGGAAACGTTGAAGACCCACTCTCTCCTTCCTCTTCCTCCCTGCCTTCCCTACCCGACCGTTTTTGTTTTCTCTGTGAGTCCATCTCTCGAGTCTATTCGGTGTCTATGAAACCACAAGGCGAAGGATACGTGGAATGGGTAGATTGTGCTAGTAAGTGTGTAGCAAGAGTCCACGGGGCATGCATCCAGCATAGGAATCCCCAGAAGTCATGGCTCTGCCCTCTGTGTCGTACTGATAAGATCTCGACGGAGGCTCGATTCCTGGAATCAACGTCGGAAGGTTTAGAGAAGATTCGACTGTCTAGACGAGCAGAGGTGTGGACAGATGTCGCCTTAATAACTCTAATTGTCGGGAATTATCTCCGAGAGTTCTCTAAGGAGGATCGGAGACGGGCCAATGAAAGATCATGGGATTATAGGTGGAACGGAGGACGGTTAGAAAAGCGAAAAACCGACGGGAGCGGGATCTGGATGTCGGTACCACATCCGTTCATAAGGTATGACTGGGTGAAATCCACCCACGAGGAAACGACAATACATTTCACTGTCAGAATTACTGAGGCGGCCATCGACAAAAATGAGTGGTATTGGTCCAATATTAGGGACAATGTTAAATTTATTGTTAAAAATTATCCCGTCTGTGCGACAGACAAGGCGCCGATTCAGCCACCTAGGTCGATAGTGCCCACCATAGTCCAACGCCCATTTCAGAGGGTTAGCATGGATACGACGGATATCGTCGTGCCCCCTGGACCGAATAGCTGCGAGTATTCAATTCTTTTGGTGTTCGTCGACCACTTTTCAAAGTGGATTGAGGCCCACCCAGCCGGACAAGACAGACGGCGGAAATAGCGCGGTATGTAAACCGTTTCCTCGGGATGCATCCGGATACCGAGGAAATCCTTACGGACAATGTAGCAGAATTCTGAGGGAAAGTCATGAGAAATCTAGTCATACATGGGGTCTCTATTCGTAATACCCCCCCCCCCCCATATGTCTCAGTTGAACGACCTTGTAGAAAATGCTAACTGAGTAATCAAAACGACACTCCGACAAAATATCGCAGCTAGGGACACGTGACAGTGGCCTGATATTGTAGATCATATCCTGGCCATACACCGAGGGACCCCGCATGAATCCACAAGACTTTCGCATTTTCAACTACGAACCAACAGCCTAGCTTGCGTCTCGATACCGAACCTGAACGATGAAATGACACTCGGCCGACATCCCACAAGAGCGACAACCAAGAAAAAGGTCAAACGTCATTTGGAACTTATGGAACGGGCCCTTCCGAGATTGGCCCGAAAAAGGCAGAGACTGACCGAATTGGCCCACGGCCGCCAGGTCCATAGTTATGAGGTCCGAAACGGAAATGCAGGTCCCCGGCCCCAGTATAAATTGGGGGACTTGGTGCAGGTGAGGAAATGTGCTTATCAAGGGAAACTAGCGCCACGATTTCTCGGGTGCTTTCGAGTGATCGAGCTTGGGCCTAATGGTGTGAACACTATGCGCCTCACTCCCGAAGTGTCGGGTAGCCGATCTGCTATACCCATAGTCCGCCACGTACCCTATCTTCGCCATCTCCCTGCTTCCTCCCCTCCCTCTCCAACTGGTTCACCTTCGCAATCTGAGTCCGAGTGGGAAAGCGATGATCCCATTCTTTTTCTTCTCCCCACTCATCGTCTCCCTCTTCTTTGCCATGAGTTTTTCCACGGAGTAGGTACTCAGTGAGCGGATGCTAGCGCCACGTGGGCACATCTCGGTGATCAGACAAGTTCATCATCTGCGTACCAGCCCGGACGTCATCGGATTTGCTCAGTTTTTCAGCACGGCGAGCGTGCATGCGGCAGTAAAGTTCCGATTCATGATACCCAACAGCAAGGCGCACGTGCTGGTCGAAGCATCAGCCTATCTGCGGCTCTCGGCGCCAGGAACCAGCCACATTTCGACAATTGTCTCCTTCAGCGGAGACATCACTATCGTGGATCCAAGGGCGCATCCGAGCATCCTCATCACGTTGCGAGATTCGGGAGAGGAGTTGGCGGGATCCTGGAGTCAGCTGCTTACAAGGAGGGGGGAAAACGTCGTCAATACTAATAGTATTGACCTGGACGGCATCCGTGCTCTCCGACAAAATCCCGCAGTATCTCTCCCTGCGCTCAACGCTGTCTCGCGTCCCCAATGAACCATCACAGGTTCTCTACCTTCAGCCTCCCCTCTGTCTTCCCTGTCTTTTGGCAGTCGGCGCTCCATCTCTCTTTCTACGTGCGGCCATTGACAACCCCTCTCATCAAGCCCATACAATGGCAGGGGTGGTGGTGAACCTATGCGACTCTTTCTCTGTGCTTAGTCGAGATCGAACTGAAGTGGACCTGGGACAGTGAGCATAACGCCGTGAGCGAAGACGTGGAATTGCTCATCATTCAAGCTTGGAGGACAGCGGTAGAGGGAGATCTGTTGGGATTCATCTTCGGAACGGTGGAGGCGGGACATCGGCAGCCGATCATAGGAGAGTTTCTAATCCTCCTAACGCAGCTGCTGGACACTCTACCGATCGACATCATCTCACACTGCGACGAGAGTCGAGCGCCGCATATTCTTTCACGCAGCTTGATGTCGTACCTACAGTGGTCGGCGTGCTTGGAGGGCAATTGGGACAACCATAATTACCTGTCGCACGATAATTACATGAACCCCGTGGAGATAATCGATATTCTCTTTTTTTATCGGGGCGAGCCGACGTCGGAAGACGAAGAGGAAGAAGACGAGGAGGAGGAGGATGAATCGGAAGATACCCCCGAGGAGGACAAATATTATAGTGAGCATAGTAAACACGAGTCGGGGGCGATACGCAAAGAAGAAGAGGAAAAAGAGGCGGAGGGGGCAGGTGAGGGGGAAGAGGCGGGACAGGCGGAGACGCAGAAAGAAGACCTTGCGGAAGAGGATCGGCGGAGGGCAGAAATAGAGGAGGGAAAGCGGTCATTGGAGCAGTCGGTGGGAACCGATCTGCCAATTCCGGACGACCCGACTCGAGATCCGGAACCGCCGGCGGAAGAAGATGAGTATCGTGCTGCAGAGACTTCGAGCTCGTCGACGCGGAGGCAACGGAGCCGCTCCCCCTCCCTTCCCCCCGTTCCTCAGTTCCAATACGGGGCATTGGGCTACGTCCCAGATTATTATCTCACCGTCCCCTTGATTACCTCACACTACAGCAGATCGATACCCCGCTCTCATTCCCTAAAAATTTCTTCCCATCTTCTCTCTTCTACCAATTCTACGCTACTCGCCTCGTCGTCGTTGTCGGCGCGAATACCCTTACAAGGGTATCCGCCCTGGGTTTTGCAAGTGACAGAAAGGCTCGGTTAACCTGGATTTTGAGTGCCCGCGCGGGAAGTGCAAGGGTCGTCCGCACGCGGGCAGAGGTCTGCCTCGTCCTGGTAGGGAGTACGTGGGCGCGCAATTTTAAGGCGCGCATGTGATTTTTCTGATTGAGTGGGCGGCCGGGGTAGCCAACTGACCCGGATCGTGTGACGAGTTTGGTTAGGGGGTGAAAGCTCGTTTTTGATTGGCACGCGCGACCGGTGGTGGCGCGTATGTCGGCGCACGGGACGGCCACGCCACGGGGGGGGGTAGGCCGGCGTGCGTACCTAGGGGCCCTGGGTATGAAGGTGGGCTGAGAGAATGGCTTAGGAAATATCTTGGCCCGCAGCGCCATACGGTATCATCTTACATGGGAGGCCGCGCCTGCTGGTCTCAGGCTTGGGCTTAGCCCTATTGGTTACAGCATCGGACTGGTATGCAGCGGACGCAGGGATCGAGGCCACCAGCAGGCAGTGAAGGAGCGGAGGAGCACGGCGAAAAGGCTGGAGGGGTTGATGGGCCGGTAGGACCATCCCCCTCGCCTTTTGCAATTATGGGGGGCCATGGTTTCCGCCCGACTACTGCACGTTTTGTGGGTTCATATATTTATATATGTATAATCCTTTCTATGTTGAGTTCTCTGTTTACTTTTCACGACCGTACGTGGGCGCGAGGCCGTAGCGGTACAACCGCGAGCTGCGCAGAAATGGGCCGCGGGGTGAGCCAAGACAAGGGAGGTTGAGGAGTAAGGGCTAGAATTTTTGAACGACCCCGAGGTGGTCGGCCCGGCGCTGGCACCCCAAGGCCGGCGCGTGACGCTCCAGTGGGAATTCCATCGGGAATCAGAAGAGAACAAAGAGGGTTGCGTGGCCCCAGCGGAGGGGTAACGTGAGGAGAGACCGGGAATGAAACTGGACGTGTGTCAGGCTAAGTGTGCACCCGGGGGGGCAGGAAAAGAAGGCCGGATGGCCTTTGGAGACGTTGTGGGGTGCCTGCCTTGATGGAAATCCTCGTGGGCTCTGCCAAGATCGGATCGGCGAGATCTGCTTGACAGTTGTGTAGAGGCTAAGGAGTTTGAAAAGGGGTGGGTCTCTTGCTGATCGGTCGAAGTGCCTAGCACGTCGGCTGCCCGAAGCTGACCCCGGAAGGAAGCTACATCCGCGTGGAGGGGACATTGGGGGGAAGTTAGCACTCGGGACCGTTTAGTTGTGAAAGGTTGTGGGGCGCCGTGTGGGGCAGACCCTTAGGAGCGTCCGAGCTTGGCACGAGTTGGAGGAGGCGGTCGTATGATCCCGTCACGTGGACCGCTATGGGCAGATCCTTCGGAGCGCCCGCACAATCGGAGTTAGTAAGATTCGCAAGCAGTCTGGGGACGAGCCCGGACATGATATAGGGCAGGTAAGTGCGCAGAGGAAAGAGGAGTTGGTTGCCCGCGGAGCCAACTCGGTCAGGAGAGGGGTGGGGTATCCCGTGGATCCGACCGGAGAGCCGCGCCAGGGGGCGGGCCCGAATATCGACTAGGCCGGATCCTTAGAAAAGGAGGGTCGGGGCTGTACCCGGTTGCGAAAGGAGGCAGGGAGGGGTGCACAGGTCCCTTGGGTCAACCACTAAGGCCGAAAAGATACGGACATAGTGCGAGGGTCCGACAGACGAGCGTTTCTTTCGCTCTTTGGTATCCGGTTGTTGTCGGACCGCGCAGTGTTGGAGAGGCGAGGTTGACGTCAACGAGGGCTGGAAGATGGAGATGGAGGGCAGACAGGAGGAGCGCTGTGAAAGTGGGATAGTGCGCGTGTTCCTCGATAGTTTTGAGTCGGGGACACGGCTACCTGGGGGTTTTCGAACATGGCAACCTCGACTATGAGGTCAGTTCGAGAGGAGGGTAAGTGAAATAGGAGGCGGAGGGGGAATGGGCTGCGCGAAAAGCAATGGGGAATTCGTAACTTTCTCACGTCTCATCAGAAGCGGGTAAGGGAAGGTGTTGACTGAGGGTTCAGGATGCGGGTGAGCCACTTGGCAAGGTGGATCCTAGGAGTGAGTTAGTGGGCCAGGAATTGGAGTGAGAGGGGCACTGTGCAGGGCCATGACAGGGGTGGTAGTAAAGGAGAGCAAAGCTAGTTAGCGAGGATGTTCCCTACTTATACTTGGTAAGAGTACGAGGCGGATTGGAAGTTTCTGGCTACGACGAAGTGGGTGAGGACACTACGGGATGAGCGACTGAGGATGCGGCTGGAAGGAGAGGTTTCGAGATGCTAATGCACCTGGTCGGGATCTTACGAAAACTCCTTCCGACCCTACTCGCCGGGACTCACCTACCTGTTACGCGTCCGGCTCAGCGATTCTCGTCGCTACGGTGCCACCCACGGCCGTCGCCGTAGTCCAGTTTGGCTCGTAGTGGCCACCTTCCTGAGTCTGTGTGCATGACTGTCGGGCTCAATGGAGCTGTATGGGTAGTCGCTTCCCCGTCCGCAACGATTCTGTAGCTCGAAGTTGGTACCCAGGTGGCGGCTTACCTGCCCGCAGGAGACTCGAGTTGTTGGACACGCTCTAGGGGCAGGGCAGAATACGCATGCAGCTCCGCCAGAGGTCTGTGTACCTCTGCTGAGAGTCTCCTAGGCAGCAGTTGCAGGAACCCTGCTACTGCAGTCGAACCCGAGATAGGCACCGAGTTGCCGTATGGTTGGAGTGTGGGCGTTGCCCATAGCTGAAGGGGAGGGGGGGGGAAGTTACCGGTTGCCTGAGCCTGTTACTGCACTACGGGTGTGGCTCGACTGCAGTGGGCGTGGTACCTTGTTGAGCTCTGCTGAGCTCGCTGCCGGGGGCTTGTATACGTTGGATTGGCTACGAAGTGGGGACCAGACTGGCTATTGGCGGATTGGCGGGGCGACAGTGGACAGTCCGCGAGGTTGTGAGGCATGCCTAATGCCTAGTGCGCTGCTCATTGGTAGAGGAAAGGAGAGAGGTGGACTGCTAAGCTGGCCGCTCCCGTTGTAGGCGCTGCGCGCTGATTCGACTATTGTACTGCAACAACGATTGTTGAACCTGCGGCGGGCGACTGCGCTGTCGTAGGAACGACTATTCAGGACTTTGTGACTATGGTTTCATTATAGGGAGCGAAAGGGGAGCATGGGAGAGGTGGCTGGGTCGCAAGAGGGGCTGCGGTTGCAGCTTGACGGAGCGGCCGCAAGGGGGTCCATTGCTGCGGACTTAGAGAGTCGCCAGGGGAATTAGACTCGGCAGTGACTAAGGGTTGACCAAGTTGTCACATTCTCGGCCGCCATTACGGGGCCCTCAGGCGTCGAAGACTCGAAGGTCCTCTCGCGCGAGTCTGAGTGTGTCCCTCCTGAGTCTGCGAGTCTTACTCCTTCTCATCCTGTCCTTCTTACTCTAAGTCTGGTCCTTTGATTCTGAGAGGAAGGCGGCAGGCGGGTCTGTGACCCGTAACCTGCGCCAAGGCCTCTGTGGGAGGTTGCCCCACCGATTGCGGGAGCTCTGCCGAGACTCAGGCGGACTCCTGGAGGCAGGGAATTGAGTGGTAACTCCCTGACTCCTTCTATAAACCCAACTATAACCCCTATCTGTACACCTTTCTATGTTTGACTGAGTATATGGTGTGGATCCTGTACTTTGATTTTGGCTTGACTTTCATGACATATGGCAGACTGAGATAAAGGAATGTATGTGCAACCTTAGTTTCAGCTTCTTTGACTGCGTGAAGACAGATTTGTATCAGAAAGGAGGTTGCATCTGGGGGAAGGTTGGAAGGAAGGCAGTATTGTGTGCAGACTGATTGGGTCGCCAAGGCTGGGAGGTCCCCATAAGTTTGGGGAAGCCCAGCGCTTTGTTTATCTTTGGTTTGCATGGAGCCTCAGGCCGCTCTATAAGTTTAGGTAGCCTGAAGCTCTGGAAGCTGGGATGTCCCCATAAGTTTGGGAAGATCTGGTGCTGTGAGTTGCATGGAGGGTCAGGACGCTCTATAAGTTTAGGTGACCTGACTGCTCTGACTTGCGAGGGTTGATTGTGCTTGACTTTCAGGGGATCAGGGCGCTCTATGAGTTTAGGTACCCTGGGTCGTCTTGTTTATTTGGGAGTTCTTTCTATTTCTTTGTTTCTAAACGAGGAGGTCTGAGCTGCTCTATAAGCTTAGGTAGTTCGGCCCTTCACCTGTTTTGTTTTGAGGGAGTAATTTTGGCTGGGGGCAGACCGCTCTATAAGTTTAGGTAGCCTGTCCCACTGCCTCGCACAAGCTGGATCAGAGAGGAACGAACCTGGCAGAGGATCAGATTGCTCTATAAGTTTAGGTAGTCTGACTCAATGCCTCGTACATGTTGAAACCCAATAGTTATAAATTGGCTATATTGTATTATTATGTTATTGAGAACATGTCAGTCAGGCCGCTCTATAAGTTTAGGTAGCCTGGTTGTAGCCTATCACAATTGAAGAGAGTATAACTAGGAGATATAACTGGAGGTAAACCTGAGCAGGCTGAGCAGTGTTCTAAGTTGAGCGGCTCAGCCCTATGTCCCCCTTGAAGACTAAGTTCAGAGAGGTATATATAACCTGGCTATTTAAATAGTTCAGGGCGACTAGAGTAGTCTAGTCATGTGCCCAAAGAAGAGAGAAGTAGTAGTTCCCTCTGTTTGTGTATACTTGGCTAATTCATAACGCTCTATAAGTTTAGGTATTCTGACTTTAGGCCCTTTGTAAGTTCAGGTGGCCTGACCTACGCCTTATGTAAGTTGGGTATAATGGGGTAACTCACAGAGGAAGCATGAACTATTGTTTGTTAAAAGGATTGGGGTTGGTGGGAGTACTTAGCTTTGTGGTTTGGCCTGCATGTGGCTGAGTGAGATTACTACTTGGTTCAGGTTTCAGGGTGACAGATAGTTGCTTCATAAGCTCGCCACATGCTAGAGCGATAGGAGTTAGGTCAATTTCTGCATTTCCTGAGTTGACTTTATTTTACTTAGATCGATTCTGGCACTTTCTGAGACTCACTGTTATATTTGGACTTGTATAAATTTTGGTAAGCCACTTTCTCTACGGGAAACCCTGCCGAAATTTTTACAGATTCAAGGAGTAAGACAAATTTTGACATGTCAAAGTTCAGCTTGTCTTTTCGTTATACCTGACTTAGTAAAAATATGGAAAGCCTCCTTTTCTAAAGGGAGTGCTGCCCAAATTTTTGCTAATTCAGGGAGTTAGATAAAATTGAGCTTTGGGAAGTCAAAGTTAGTCTCACATTTTAAACTTAGCCTTGTATAAATTTTGGGAGAGCACTTTTCTAGGGGGAGTGCTGCCGAAATTTCTGCAAAACTAAGGAGTTAGTCAGATTTTGTCTAAGTTGAACTTAAGGTTGGGGGCTGAGTTCCAATTTGACTTGGTATAAATCTAGGAGATCCTCAATTCTAAAGGGGATGCTGCTCAAATTTCTACTAATTCAAGGAGTTAGACAAGATTTGACTTTCCAGAGTTATAGACTACCGTTGCTTTTGATATTTGGGCTTGTATAAATTCTCAAAATGACACTTTTTCTACGGGAAGCGCTGCCGAAATTTTTCTGAATTAGAGGAGTTAGATTATATTTTGAAAGGTGGTGACTTTGACGGTCCACCCTGTATAAGGGAGACCCTGCCAAGGTCTACCTTTGCTTGGGCACTGCTTAAGGGCGGACTTAGGCCTAGTTAGTTAGGTAGCTTGTGGAGAAGGGTTATGATTATCTTCCAAGGACTTACAGGCTTAGCTTGGGGATTGGCGTGTCTTGCGTTACAGGTCCTCTTGATTATCCGACTCAGGATGTGGATTAGAGTCAGCTTGGTCCCATTAGGGCCATCTTCTGTTATCACTGATAACAGGTCGGTTGCCGATTCATCGGTCTACGACTCAATTACAACTCACTCTCCATACCCAACCTAAAAGGCTTTAGCCCTGGTGACTTTATTGTTTGTTGAGGGTTTTGCCCGGACTTTTATTGAATGGCCATTTGACAAAGGTACTGAGTATTTAATTATGGTCGGTTGGACAGGATGTTGGGGCTTGCATGGCTAAAGCAACGGGTATGAGTGTGGGGATTGGTTGGGGTTGACTCCGTGTAGTGCGTGTTTTGTCATTCGATTCTTGGTGTGATTGCAGGTATATCCTGTGGCTCGGATTTTGGATTTGGATTGTCTGCGATCCCATATACATATACATGGTTGTGAGGAATCCCACTGTGCCTGTGAGAAGTGATCGTTGCAACTCTATCTCCCTTATGCGTGTATACGTGGGTGTACCTATGATCAATAATTTGAGAGGCCTAAGAGGCCCAACTTAAAAATCTGTTTAAAAGTTGAGATTGAGGGGCACAGGGAAGACCCTCCTTTCTGCCTATTTGCGTCTTGGGATTTTCTTAGTCGGACGTTGGTCCTGGGCCGGGATTCAAGGTCCTTGTCCAGGACATCCCAAGCCCTAGACTCTGCAGGGAAGGAATATGTCCCCGTGCAGAGCCTGTTTGCCTTGCCTGCCGAGACGCTCAGACCAAAGGTCGGAGGTCTCGCGGCGGCTGCACGACTATTCCTTCAGCCGTGCAATGATGTCGTGAAGGATTAGACCCTCACGACACTTCGAGTTTGACATTTGAGTATCATAAGCGGTACTCGGATCCACGAGGGACCGCTTGATTGTGGGGACTACATAGTACGCCATCATTGCGACTGCTTACATACGCCTGCATTGCGAGTCGATATAAGTTAGCCCTATGTCCGCGCGGTCTTATATCCAGCCCCGCGCGCGACGCCTATCCGATTTCCGCGTTGGAAAGTTATGGGACGACTACCG